AATATCTTCCTTACCTATCAGGTAGAGTAGCTGAGACCCCGCCTCAGCCGACTGTTCTGGAAGCGGGGTTGCGTCCTCTGATGAGTCTTTTTCTTTTCTTCTTCTCGCGATATATGAGGCGGCGTTGCTGCTTGGCTTAGGGATAGGACAAGAATGAGTGTCAGAGTCGAACATCAATAAGGGAACACTTCAAATTCGTATCATACGTCAGGCACATACAAAACGTTTATAAGCGGCTAGCATAGCAACCCAAAAATAGGTACGCGAAGCCATGACTCGCTTAGCGAACATGCTATCTTGACTACCGCAGGATGACGGACGTATTTACACATTGCCTCCATTATACCCCTACCTACTAAATGGGTGTCCTAACCGGTGTACTCGCAAGTGACAGTTGTGCCAGAGGCAGAGCAGCTGGTCAAGACCTCGTTGTTCTGCTCTATATCGATGATGGTAGCACCACTCGTGCCGATATCGCCGTTGGCCTCGGCGCCGGTGAATGTCACCGTACCAAAGTCCGCAAAGGCGACCAGGCTACCGCCGCTCTCGTAGTCTTCGACGATCCACTCGGCGTTGTATTCGCAGAGGGCGTCGGTCTCGCCGGAGAAGGTGTGGGTGACGGACTTTCCGGTCGTCTCGTTCTCGAGCACGGCCGTGCCGGCCTTCTTGCTCGTAGCGGTCACAGTCACTTGAAACGCATGCTCGTCAGTCGCCATTTATCGCGAGACAATGGCCGGCTTCGGGGAAATGAGAGCCTGGTGGGTAATACGTACTGGTGATGGTATCTCCAGCAGATACGGAGAAGCCCGAGAAATCATAGGCGTAGTCCGGGTACCACTCATACCAGGCGTCAAAGGAGACAGAGCTTCCTCGAACGGAGAAATCGACTCCCGTCTGCAGAATCGAGGTCGTGCAAGTATCTCCGTCGATGCCCACCCAGGCCGAAGCCGAGTACGTCGTCGAGCTTCTGCCGCCGTCGGGAACCTCCGGCGTGGGGACGACGATGGTCCCAGTCACGGTAGTGTAGCCGGTTCCTGTAGCAGCATGTGGTCAGGCCAACGTCATTACCCGTGGGAAAGAGACCGGGAAGCTCATACCAATAAGGACAGCACCAGCCCAGTTGCTGGAGTACTGGACATGGCTGTCGTTGCCGAGGGCGGCCTGCAGATCGCCCTCGGACGGCTGAAGGAAGTTGGAGCTGCGGGAGGCGGACCTGCGAGCTACTTCTCGCTCGGCGGCCCGCTGACGACGGGCAGCGGTGCCGGGTGCGGCGGCCGCAAGGCCGGCGCAGAGGAGCGCGCTCGCGAGGGAGACAAACTTCATCTTGGGGGACTTGAATCAGGGTGTAGGTAGTATTTCAAACACAATGAAGCTGTACCTTAGCCTAGCGGAGGACGAGTTCGCGGGTGGTGAGGACGAGAAGAAAGACTCCCGGATTCATCGTGGCTTTTATAAACAGGTTATAGCCTTTGCCCATGCCGTTTTCCCATAGTGATAACGGGCAACGTAGTATAACCCAAGCCCCATCCGAACCCAACAGCCCATGGGCTGGTCCGAAGAAAAAAATGATCGTGAGCGTGCGGCATGGTGCATGGTGCCTGGCTTTGACATGGCTTCTCCGCAACGACATGTGCCGTGTCAAGCGCGGTCACCTTCCCGAACGATGCTTGGGCACTCGAGCCGGTGACTGGGGGCCATCCTCCAGGCAGGGCCAGAGAGGGCATATCTCGGCAGGCCACGCGCAGTAGCTGTTGACGAAGCTTTTGTCTCACGCAGTGTCTGGGTGGTGTGGCGTGGTGCAGGTCCAGTCTACATGTCCAAGGCATGCCTCACCCTGCCTGGCCCCCCTCCCACCCCTTCCAAGGGAGCTGATGTAACCAAAGCTCACTGTGTAAGTGGACGGGATCAGCTTTTCTCGTTATCAGCAACACAAGCGTCATAGGAGTGCAGTGGGAAAACAAGGAGTTGATTAGATTAATTATCGCGCGGACAGATAGCGATGTTTCGCCATTCGATCACGCAACCTGTCGCTGACCAAGACCAGGGGGGTAAGAGAGAGGTAGATACAGTAGCATCCCCGAGGCAGGCCCACTTCAAGGCCCCGGAGCATCTAGAGTGGAAGTCCTGCAGGCTCGGGTGGGCGACAGCGCGAAGGGCCGGTATTTGATTGGGGACGAGGTTATGGTCCTCGAGGCTCTCGCAGGCCGGGACACATGTGGCGGATCCGAAGAAGGGCAAGGCATGGGTGGTGGTGGTGGTGGTGAAGGCGTGCGGAGGAGACAAGGGTCGGCAATCCGGTGCGCATAACATGTGAGCGGTGATAGATAACGGTAACACGCGGGGGTGACCGATTCCTCCATTTCCTGGATCTGAGCGCCAGCAACCCTTTTGTCGATCAATAACCGGGGGCTTTCCAGATGATCTTGATATCAGATCTAGCCGGGCATATGTCTAGTCAGGACAAGCTTTTCTGCCCGAGTCGCCAAGTATCTCGGCAATTCTTGGAAATCGTGGCTTTTGAGCTAAGTAAGCGGGCTGTTACTTGCTTAAGGGTACCAAGACGTGTCAAACCCTCCCGTCCTGTCGTCCACCATGCACCCCAGGATTGAGGTCCGCAATAGGCAGGCCAGAGTTACCCCGGCACTGGAGACGGTTGGTTGGTGTGTCCCTGTGATAAGTCAGCCCCCGTACCATCGCTGAGATATGTGTGTGTATGTGTGTGTATGTGTGTGTGTGTACCTGTGTGTGTACCTAATCATTATCAACCACGCCATGTCCCTTGTCATCCGACCGGAATCACGCCTCGCCGGCGCAATATGCTTGCACCAACCGGGACCACGGAGGCATCGTGCCTCGAACAATCTTTATCTCCTCGACAAAAGCAAGGAGTTCTTTCCACCAATGATCAAATCATCACATCACTAGAGCAGCGGGAAAGTCATTCTCAACCCCTGACAGGACTCAGGGCTCAAAGCTTCAAATGCTAGGTAAACCCGTGTGGAGGTTCAGTAGCACCGTGACTGCATCCGGCGGCGCCGAATCATATCCCGGTTTTGACGTCCTCTGCAGCGGGAGCTCGTGATAACCTCTTGGCATTACCTGAATGCTACGGCATCCGATATCTCCATTACCCGCGCCATTCGCATTATCGGTACATAGTCGTACGGCATGGAAGCTACTTGTGAACGGGGCAACAGTTCGACTCAACTCTCCAAACAAAGCTCGACGGGTACAGTAGAGCTTAGAGCCCGTGAAATTTGAAGAGAGTCAGAATATCATTGTCACCTACTGCTGTAATCACAGGAGGTCTTCTACTGTAATGAAGCCAAGGCCACTACCGTAAGTCCGAGGTTCTTCATCTAGAGCCCACGGTTCGGAGCTCCGCCTGTGGATATGTATTTACTCCTGAAGTTCGATAGCCTGTCGTCAACAGCTCGCAACGTCCTCTTTACATGACCTGCAACTTTTCCAAGAAACAGTGATGGAGCATGAACTTTATAGATTTTTACATAGATCCGCCTGAAGCCGGGCTCTTCTCAACGCCTTTCCCGTGAGTAGCGGTGAGAGAGCTAGGATCGCAGACATGACTGCACAGGCTTCACCCAGCAGCCCATGTAATTATCATCTGGTCTTATCGCAATCTCTGGCATGGCAGCAGTGGTCTTGTAGAGGGGTTGCACACGCTGCATATGTTTCCACCATCAGACACAAGCCCAGCCACAACCACGACACTTCCGACTCCACTGCCGTCTCCAAGGAATGGGCTGGGCGAGATATGTCGAGGCATATGATTGTTTACATCTAGACGCATTCCCCCGATGAGGGCTATTGGTCCATCTTTTATGCGTAGCTCAGAAAGGACGATGGCAGCGCTCAAAGCCCCAACGAGTACGTTTAAATCAGCCGTACTTGCTCGGACCCCGTCTTCGACAGATGCCACCATGGTACTCATTCCCTTGAAAAAAAAACAAAAAAAAACAAAAAAAAACAAAAAAAAAAAAAACAAACCTACGTACAAGGTCAACAAGCTCTTACCACATCTTGCCGGTCGACCAAGAGACGAATGAGTCGCACCGAGTAATACCGCCCTGTGTACCTGCTCAGAGAAGATATGGAACAACCCCCACGATGAAAACATGGGGAAATAAGATTCAAGGGGCAGAGGATAATCCACGGCATACCTATGAATAACCGTCTGTCAAGCTGGCAAAATATATGTGTTCGCGCGATACGTCCAGCTCGACAAATCTGGGGTACCTAGGTGCTTCAGGTACTCCAAGATAACGAGTCCAGCGCTTCAGTCCAGGTAATCAGTTTCACACGACTGGACGTCGCATGGAGAGTAGCCATCAGCCCGGGCTGCACTGCATCGCATCCATGGCGACTCGTCACCGCCTGCAACCCCAGGGTACGACCTGGTTGCGGTAGATAGGTGCATCATGCAGGCCCGCCCCCACAAAGCGACAGACACCTTTTTCGACAAGAAACGCCACTGCAGTACTAAGCGAGTGCAATAAGAATACTGAGGGCTGAACACAAGACGCGAGGCCATCAGTGCAGAGATCGTGGCCCTCGAAGCATCGCACATTCAAGCTCGAGCGGCATCGGTATGGCATCCAGGGCAGAAGACAAGAGCCTGGGGCGACGATCGCCCCAGGCAAGGTACCGGTAATCAGGCGGTCCAAGCCAGGGTACCGTGTATCGGCCGAAAATACCTGGAAGCGCGACAGCACCTTGCAGCACATGGATTCCAGGACCAGAGGTACCTAGGTATCTCCCATGCTTGATTTTGCTGTTGACATAAATTGGAATGATGACGCAGACTAATAACAAGAGCGCATAATTAACCAAAGGCTTTTTGGCTTCGACATTTGTCTGTTTTCTTCCGCTAACCTCAGCGCTGGGCAACAAACAACTCGCTTGCCCCACAATAGCGCCACAGGAGCGCTTTTTCTAGTGGTAAAAGATATATCTATTCTTATAGCAAGCCGTCGATCATAGCCCTGGTAGCTCAATTGGTTAGAGCGTCGGACTTTTACGATTCCTTGTGATTCCAACTAAAGTCCATCCGAAGGCTGCGGGTTCGACCCCCGCCTGGGGCGATGATATCGTTTTACGTTTTTGCATCATTGTCTCCCTCTGCGAAATGTAGCATTCAGAGGCCCAGACACACTTTTTTACATTATTTATACTTTGCACTCCTGTGAAAAGTCTGGAAAATCTATTATTTACTTCACCTAGCCTTAATTATGATATCCTATGAGAAATTCCACCACGTTCGAAAGGGAGAATAAGCAGCGATGAAGACAACTTGAGCCGCCGCACAGCAGTTTCTTTGCCCCTGTTGTTAGTGACGACGGAAATGGCACCAATTTCAGCGTTATCTTCACGGCTGAAGCATGACTCGACAGCATACTCAGAACGGTTTTATGGAGCGCCGCAAAGACATTTTAGGTATGAGTTTCACATGCATGTGGCTGAAAAATGTATGTACTTGACGTTCCCCTCCCATTGCTTGGGACATTGAGCAAGAGCTATGTACAAGAAGCCATGCACCAGTATATACACCTATGCAAGCCGAGGAGACTGCAGTCCGAAAGACCCTTCTAGTCCCTGGTGGCGTTTCCCTTGAAGATATCCAGCGGGAACTGGTCAGCAATCGCCTGGTATCCCGCGACACTCGGGTGTAGATGGTCTCCGCTGTCGTACTGCGAAGCCAAGTTGGCCGCATTGGAGGGATTGGCCACGATCTTGGCAAAGTCGACCGCGGCGCTGTAGGTGCCGTCGCCGCCGCCGAGGATCCACTTGTTGACCGTCTGCCGGGTCTGGTCGCGCGTCGGGTTGCTGTAGCTCTGCCCGCTGCCGCCGAAGGGCGTGATGGTGGCACCGAAGACGGCCATGCCCGCGGCCTTGGCCTCGGTGGCGATCTGCTTGAACGAGGACGTCAGGCTGCTGCCAAGCCGCGACTGCGTACCCGAGTCGGTGGAGCCGCCGCCGATGTCGTTGACGCCCTCGAAGATCAGAGCGTACTTGGCGCCGGCCACGGCGAGCAGGTCGCGCTTGTAGCGCTGCATCAGGGGCGGGCCGAGACCGCCGGTCAGGACGGTGTTGCCGCCTGCTGCTTGGTTGCAGACGGCCACGTCGGTGATGCCCTCCTTCTGCATTCGAGCCAAGAGAAGATCCGGCCAGCTGTGGATGTGTAAGCTTCACACGATAGACCGGCAAGGGGACGAATCTGGTGCACAAACCGATTGTTTGCGTCATCTGTACTACCTCGCCCATCTGTGATACTATCACCGAGGATGACGAGTGCAGCGGTTGATTTTGGCGCCCAAGCTTCCACTACGGTGAGGAAGTACCAGTGTTTGGTGCTCGAGCCCGTTACCGTTGAAGCGTTCACGTGGTTCCCCTGACGGCAGCCCGAGGTCAGCATGTTTACCAATATGGATCGACAGTCCTGTCATAAGCGGTTCTCTTCAACAATATCTACAAAAGAAAGGGAGAAGAAGATATAATTGTATCTCCTTGTCAATTTCCCCCCTTTCGTGGCGAGGGCAACAGAGGTGCGTGGGATATTGCCGAGCCATAGAAACCTACCTGCTGCATCCATGAGGTTGTTCGACTTCCTGGATGCCCAGTTATACTACTACCAGATTGCCCAGCCTGCGAGTACAGCGTGACGGTAATCATAGCCTGAGGGCTGACTTTGAAATCGACCGGGTCGGAGTAGATGACCGTTCCTCTGGGAACTGTAGTGGAGGCAGACCCGTTGAATGTCAATCCCTTCAACGAAGATGTGTCGATACCGCCAACCCCAGCCTTGCCGCCTGTCGGCAACGCCACAGAGGCTTCTGTAATGGGGAGATCGCTGCCCCCAAAGGTATTGGAGATTTGGACACGGAACCTCTCGCCGCCAATGGACATATGGAGGGTCTGGCGAAGCGTGGCATCTTTGAATGTGCTAGAACCCGACTAAATCTGAATATTAGGATCTCGCCACATAACCATGGCTTGATTGAAACATACGAATGGGGATGGCGGCATGTTGCTCTGCTCGACGAGCTGAGGCATCGAGGTCCATGTAGCAACCCAATGTGAGTCTCCATCTTGCCGGTCTTCGAGCGGCCCCGAATGGGTGGGAGCTGCTAGAGCACCGGATAGCCACAAAAGACATATAGCAACAGAGGAGAGGCTCAGGCCGAAGCCTTTTGACCTATAACCACAGAACGACATTCTCGATCAAAAGCGACTGGCAGACAATGAGCTGCCAAGACAGAAACACGTCCATCCTGAAAAAGCGTTAAGAGTATTTATTCTATTTCATACACATTGGCGGACTTATGGCCTCCGACTTGTATTGGAAAAGCGTCATGCGGCTATTTAGCCGTATGTGAGGACGCTTCGTCTACATGGATAGATGGTCCCAGTCAAAGAGGACGACCACAGTCGCTGGGATGGGCGGCTTGTAGGGACTAGAAGAGAAATGGAACAATGGAAGGCCGCGGCAAGATGAAGATATATGAGGAAGGCTCATGGATAGCAGGATAGGGGCTGAAAAGGGGACCGAAGCGATGTATGGGTAAGGCGGATCGGGCAGAGGCTTCCCCAGTGCTTGGCTGCATGCATCGAAGCCATGGGGTAGTTGCAGTTGTTCCTAAGATGGGACAAGCAGGCGAGCATTGTAACAAAGGCGGTCAGACTGCTAAGGTCGGTCACAGTTTGGCGATGGCAGTGAATCTATCCAGCTCACCTACCTCACGATGTAGTTAGGCGTGATTGAGGCATTGACGGAACTGCGTAATAGGACATGCAGTCGATTCCCTTCATTCGCTGCATGGAACCTACAATGTCGGTAAGCGAGACGCACGCAATCCCTCGAGCACTCCATGAGGGTCGAATTGGACCACGAAGGGCGCATAGCACCGAGATCGCAGTGTATTTCGCATGTCAAAGTCACTGGAACGGTGTACTTGTGATGTATTGTTCTTCTTGGGGAGCGGGCAATAAGGTATACATGCATGTGAGATAAGAAGATGTTCGTGCACAGACCACCTTGGCACATTCATTTTCGGTTGGATACGAGGAGGATGAGCTGTGAGGTCACATCTCAAACCTGCCCCTCCCCCTCCATTCATCAGTACCTTTGAAACTTACACCAATCAGAATCGCTGCAGAGGCCGTTTACGGGCGACTTTTAGGTACATTTACACTGGTGCATTGGCAAACTGCGCTTTAGGTATCGGAATTTTGGTCTGAACTGGCCTCGCTCCACCTCATTGAACATCACACATCACATTCACCGCGCAAACAGTAGAGGAAGCAACCTTTACCGAGGGATTCCTGTTCCGCTGGTTTGCTGTCTGATTGTGGAATCTGCCTCGTTCGCAAAAACCAACATCTTATTGTCTATAAAAACAAGAGGCTTCCTGCAACCCAATTGCCCCCTTCCATCGTACCACTGCGAGAACCCGAATTTCGCAACGGCCCGACAAGTCTAACAACACCAAAAGACTTTTTCCCCCTGCTCACTGACTCACCTCCCTTACCTCATAGCTTCATACTGCACTTGCACCTCGAGCCTCAACATCTTTAAGGAGCTGTAGCTTCTTTTCACCTTCATTATACCCTGTTCACCTATATCTTCTCATCTTACTTCACTATCTTACGCCGACCCCGCCTGCGTACACTTATTCCTCTAACTCCACGCTACATCCTGCCCTGGTTCCGTAGCTATAGATCCCGAGCAACCTGCAACTTTCCATAGCCCCTTTCCTTGTACGTCGAGATCCAGCACCGCCAGTATGCCGGGAATCGACATGGAGCCTCTCAAGGCCGATGACATGAGAGGTATGTGACACCCGCCCGTCTTGCGTCTGCTTGTACTCTTCCCTATTCGAAAGTTGTTGTTTTCTACTCCATCCGGCCTCAAATTGTTCTTATTGCTTCGTCTCACATCACTTGAGTTCACCTGGCTTGGTTATATACGACTTTCGCCCTTTCCACACCAATCGAACGTCCTTCGGACCCAGTAGAGAAATTCATCGAGTAAGGGAAAAATGCTGATACATACCGACACACTAGTCCTGGGACAGGATCCTCTGATCCCACCCGCTCTCCTCGTATCTGAGATCCCCATGACGGATGTCTCCCTTCAGGCTGTGGTCAAGGGACGCCGGGATGCTGTTGCCATTATTATGGGCCGTGACGACCGCCTCCTGGTTGTTGTTGGACCTTGTTCCATCCATGATCCTGCCACTGCGCATGAATATGCGCAGCGACTCAAGGGTTTGTCTGAGAAGCTATCTGATGACCTTTGCATTATCATGCGCGCTTACCTTGAAAAGCCGCGTACTACCGTTGGCTGGAAGGGCTTGATTAATGATCCCGATATCGACAACAGCTTCAAAATCAACAAGGGCTTGCGCGTCTGCCGCCAAATGTACAGTGATCTCACCAACACTGGCATGCCCATCGCCTCAGAGATGCTCGACACCATATCCCCCCAGTTCCTTGCCGACTTCATTTCCGTTGGCGCCATCGGTGCTCGTACCACGGAGTCGCAGTTGCACCGAGAGCTAGCCTCGGGTCTATCGTTCCCCATAGGATTCAAGAACGGTACAGACGGTAATCTCGGCGTCGCCATCGACGCCATCGGTGCTGCTGCCTCTCAGCATCATTTCATGGGTGTCACCAAGCAGGGTCTGGCTGCAATCACAAGAACCTCTGGTAACGAGCATGGATTCGTCATCCTGCGTGGCGGTACCAAAGGCACCAACTACGACAAGGACAGTATCCAGGAAGCCAAGGATACCTTGGCCAAGAAGGGCCAGAAAATGGCTATTATGGTAGACTGCTCGCACGGTTAGTCCATTTGCAGAATGCAATGACAATGTTGAACCTGAACACAACTAACACCATTCCAGGAAACTCCAACAAGGATCACCGAAATCAACCCAAGGTTGCCAAAGTCATCGGTGACCAGCTACGAGACGGCGAGAAGGCCATCGTCGGTGTCATGATCGAGTCTAACATCAGCGAGGGCAACCAAAAAGTGCCTGCTGATGGTCCAGCAGGCCTGAAGAAGGGTGTCAGCATCACCGAT